ATATTTTAAATTACAATTACATTGTAGAGATATTAGGTATTTTTTGAAAGCAAGAGAGATGAAAATTGTGCAATGCCCTCGCCTGGACTCGAACCACGGACCTCTCGAATACGTGCCGAGTGTGCTGACCATTACACCACGAAGGCATGCCAAGAGGCAGGAGAAACACCTTATATGCTCCTTCTTTAAAAGAACGACTGGGAATTAGGGGAATCTATCGCCAAATCCTGGTTGTGAAAAATCATTATCCATCACTTTTTTTTTAGTTCGGGGGCCACTCTAGAGACATTAAGTATTTTTTGAAAGCAGGAGAGAGGGAAAATGTGCAATGCCCTCGCCTGGACTCGAACCACGGACCTCTCGAATACGTGCCGAGTGTGCTGACCATTACACCACGAAGGCATGCCAAGAGGCAGGAGAAACACCTTATATACTCCTTCTTTTACAGAACGACTGGGGATTAGGGGAATCTATCGCCAAAAACTGGTTGTGAAAAATCCTCATCCATCACTTTTTTTTTAGTTCGGGCGCCACTGTAGAGACATTAATTATTTTTTGAAAGCAGAAGAGAGGGAAAATGTGCAATGCCTTCGCCTGGACTCGAACCACGGACCTCTCGAATACGTGCCGAATGTGCTGACCATTACACCACGAAGGCATGCCAAGAGGCAGGAGAAACACCTTATATACTCCTTCTTTTAAAGAACGACTGGGGATTAGGGGAATCTATCGCCAAATCCTGGTTGTGAAAAATCCTCATCCATCACTTTTTTTTAATTCGGGCGCCAGTTTAGAGACATCAAGTATTTTTTGAAAGCAGGAGAGAGGGAAAATGTGCAATGACCTCGCCTGGACTCGAACCTCGGTCCTCTCGAATACGCGCCGAGCGTGCTGACCATTACACCACGAAGGCATGCCAAGAGGCAGGAGAGACACCTTATATACTCCTTCTTTTAAAGAACGACTGGGGATTAGGGGAATCTATCGCCAAATCCTGGTTGTGAAAAATCATCATCCATCACTTTTTTTTAGTTCGTGGGCCATTGTAGAGACATTAAGTATTTTTTGAAAGCAGGAGAGAGGGAAAATGTGCAATGCCCTCGCCTGGACTCGAACCACGGACCTCCCGAATACGTGCCGAGCGTGCTGACCATTACACCACGAAGGCATGCTAAGATGGCGGGAAAAATACCTTACAACATATAATAAAACACACAATTTAATTAATAAATAGTTTAATTTGGTGTTTAAATAGTTTAATTCACTGAGAAGACAACAATGCTTCGGATAATCGGAAGTGGTAGAAATTCCAAAATACGGCCTGCAGAGTATTTTCTTTGTTACTTTTTATGTGTTATAGGAAACTTTAAAGAAATCTTCCTTAGGAAACTTTAAAGAAATCTTCCTTAGGAAACTTTAAAGAAATCTTCCCTTTTAAGAAATCTTAGTGTTTATCCTAACATACGCTTTTATAAGTTTGTGATATTTAAGACATATGCTTAGGATAATCGTTTCTCGATAAAGGGATTGGCTTGTTTTTCGCTCCAAATTAACTAAGATTATTAAATCAGCGTTAGCCTAAAATTCAAGTTTGTTCATTTTAAAATTCATTGATGTCTTTACATACAGGAATTATTACTGGGTGGCAGTTGAGAGATTTATTCTATTTTAAATTTATCTTTTTCAATATTTATACTTTTATTTTTCATAATTCGAAGCGAGAAATAAGAAACTTTATTGCGAATATATATCGAATGGCAACAAATACTTGAAATTAATTGCGTTGAGTTTCAAGCAAAAAAACCACTGTTTTCTTCCAAACTTATTCATGGAATGTTTTTGAATTATAACTAGCGTGGGAAGACTAAACTTTGCATAAACACGTGGAATATAATAGGTTAAGCATTCTTCACGATTTCAATGTTTCAGTCATAAAATACCGTATTTTTAGCCCAAACGGGCAATTTACCCATAAGGGCTATTAATTTCGTTTTGGCATTTTTGCACAGATTCACTATAAACGACGAATCACTTTTGAAACTGTTGCCACCGAACATTCGAGCCCGGTATTATTTTTAAAGAAATTAAATAATGAAGAATCTGCATCAGTGTATGTATGTTTCTCCCACTATGATAAAACAACGGCACCTAGAGCCATCCAATTTTGAATAACGTAATCCTCCACCGAATGTGGATATCTGGAAGCCCTAAGTTTGAGTTTGGAATCTGTTTTATTATCGATTTCATATTTTGTAATACTTTAACGAATTTTGGATTAAAAAACTTAAAAGATTTCAAAGCGAGGAATGGCAACACTCAACTGTGAAACACATTTGTATCTCCAGTGCGCGAGACTGCGTATCGGAAATTCTGAATATACTCTCATTTTAAAATTATTTTGCGATATGGCTGTTGGATTGAATTTTATGGTTTACATGTGAAGAACATGATATTTAATAAATAAATGTACCACCAAAACGTTAAGGGGTGTCAGAAACCCCTATACCGACAATGTTAAATTGGCCATTTTTGATGTACCTTTTCTCAAAATCTGCTGTAGATACAAGCTTGAAATTTTTTCTGTAATTAAAGTATACCTATCTGATTATAGTGAAATGAGCTTTCGAAACATTTTGAGTAATTTATAGAATATTTTGTTAGGCATAGTAAAATTTAACACTTTTCTCACACACAAATTTTTTTTTCTTATTTTATCACAAAAAGCTCATTTCAGTAAATATTAGGAAACCTAATAAATAAGCCATAAAATGTTTAGATACCTGTGAGCAGTAGTTCCTGAGAAAAGGTACATCGAGTATAAAAAAATCACGTTTGGAGAAAAACGCGTTTTTATGTAAAAATCCTCATTGATCGAAGCAGTAGATGACAAATTAAAACTAGATTTTTTTACAGTTCTAATATTCATAGATATTAAAGAATGGTATTTTTAGAAAGATAAAAGTGTAGAGAATTTGAAAATGCAAAAATCCGAAATCACAATTTTTTGAAGATTTTGTGGTTCCAACACCCCTTAAAAAAATCCCTTCGAGCTTAATATAAAATCTGAAAGCTTTCAGATTTTGCTTTAATTATTATATTAAGTATTGCTCTTTGCTCAGAGTTATGTTATGGCAACAACCTAGGCAAGAACCGAAATTAAAGAAGCGGGGCGTATGGGAGTCATTACGGCTAATCTAATAGGCAAACGTGTAATCTTCAGAGTATCTCCCGAACAGTTAAATGACCTCTTAACTTTGACCGTCGCTTAATTCCATGACACTTCTCTCCTAAGATTTATGCGAGAAGGCTGATCTAAGTAAAGAGCTGCTCCAGTAAATAGATTAAACTGTCTCCTGGGGAGATGTCTGGAAGCACATTTTTCTGAAGAGCCAATGAATGCCTTCTCCTCAGATGCATTTTATGGAGTCCAAAGATATTTGTCTGTGCCAGCAATAAAACGGATAAAAAACAAAAAAGGAGAAGAGTCTTGCGGCGATGTTACTACCGTAGTTATTTATCATCATTCATTTTATTGTATGTTCGACTCATATCCTATATCTCTTAAGTGTTAGATTAGCTATCTGTCATCTAAACTGTTTGGAACTGAGGGAAGGTAATTCGCAATTTTTTTCTAACACAACGCACAAATTTGGCTGCTGCGACGATTCGGACTTCACTTCAGCTAATATAGTACATTTTTAAAAAATCTGATGTGTACACAGCATGACTTCCTTGTACGGAATATTAAATTATACGCATTTTTTTCTTGCATTTCATTTAAACTTATTGGATTGAAATAAATTTACTTCGCCGACAGCACATAAACCACAATAGAATAAATGCATTCTTTAAAATTTACTCTATTTGTTTACCATAGCGACACTCTGGCGCTAGGTTCACTTAACAGTATTATATTTCGCTCATATTATAACTCAGAACGCAAAAATTTATATCATTTAAAGAATTATCTAATCGTTCCCACATGTTCTATTCAAATACTATAATAAAGCTAGAACAATGTATCAAAGAAATTAAGCAAACAAAACAAAAAAGAAACAGTTTTTCAAATACGATTGAGTATTTCTCATTGAATTAATTAAGTTCTCACTTCGCGACAAGGGAAAAATGCATAAAAACTCAAAATATCTGTATTAAAAATTACGAAGTAAATCTTAAACACTTACTTCCTCGAAAAAATTCCACAAAGGATTAAGCATGATTTAATTCGCAATAATAAATAAAGGCGTTTATCTTTGTTGTTGCGAAGTTAAGTTTCTCTAGACTGGCAACAAATCCAATATTCTGCTGTTTCAAATGTAAACAAGCAATGGCCGCCATAAAAAAAAATATTAGGCTTAGCGGCACTTAAACAACTTTAAAATTGTTGATAATTCTAAACATATTGCATACAGATTTACTAAATGCATAAAAACCTTACCCGGAAGATAAGAACAACATAATTGAATCATTTTTAAAGCAAAAAATTTACAAATTACAAACATATAAGAGTAAAGAAACTGAGATCACTGAGCCGGGTAACAGAGTGGATGTATATATAAATATATTTATATACGTTTGGTGCTGCCGATTGCAACCAAAATACGAGGTGCACATCTACATATTATAGCAGTCCTATATACAAAATTTCAACGCTCTGAGGCTAGTCGTTTTTGAGTTATGCGAGATACGTACGTACGTACATACGTTCGTACAGACACCACGAAAAATTTTCTTCAGAATTCAATTTAAAGCAGTTTTATAATTTTTTTTTTTGGAGGAAAAGAGTCTTTTATTCTGTTCTTACGTACAGATACCACGCAAAAACATCGTTAAATTGCGTTCGAAAGCGGTCAAAATGGATATTTTCGTTGAAATATGCTGCCTGAAACTTTTCGCGATTACAATACTTCCTTTTTACTTCGTACAAGGAAGTAAAAAACGGAAAACATTAAGCCGCGCAAATTATTATGTATTCAAATTCGAAGCAATAGTTTTTTTACCTTGACGGCTTCCATCTTGGAGTTCCACTAGCAACCGACAACGAGATCGTTTGTCCAGGCGATCGTATATCAGCCATTATCACATTTCTCCTCCTGCAAAATATAATAATTTTTTTCATGACAGTAAACTGAAGAAGGTGCCTGAAAATAATACACATTTAGAAGATTGTAATTTAAAATCTGCAATGAAATGTTCGAAATCAGTTTCATTCGGGAATGACTTAAATTCTGGAAATCACTCACACATATTAAATACAGGTAATGTAATTGCTATCAAGTGATTTTAGGTCTTATGAGATGATGCATAATTATAAATTTACTTAGGAAAGGAAGACATATGCACGAAATTCTAGTCCCAAAATAACTGCTATTGTTATCTCATTTCGAAACACTGCATAGTAGCTTCAAAAGCACGTTAGATACATTAAAATATGTACACTGCTCAAAAAAAAAAAAAAAAAAAAAAAAAAAAAAAGGGACAGTACTATATCTCCCGATCTACTGGGCCGAATGACAAAATTCAAATTGTGTTCTTCATGTCTCGAAAGCGCGACTTAGGATATATATTAGATTTATATATAGCACTATTCTAACATAGGTATTTTGACACAAAATTGGACTTTTTCTGAAATAACATACAAATTGTTTTACATATTTCGATTCTACGACTCAAATTTCGCCTAAATATGAAATTTTGTAAAATTTGGAGCAAAATTTACGGAGAAATTCACAAATTTATGTTGGCACTTTTTTGTCAGTTTGCGCCAAGAATACTTCACTTGGCGAACTTCTTAATATATGGCAACCTAGTTTCCTTTCCCGTGAGAGGGAAAAAAAGTCACCATCGTTCCTTTTTTCCAAATAATATTCTTTATATTATATATTTTAATTATAACTTATTATTTTTAAGTAATTTTTTCTTTTTCGAATTTCATTTTAATTGTTTAAGTTGCACGTTTTTTTTTTTTTTTTTTTCGAAAAACTGTTTAAAAATTTCTATTTACCTATTCGAACTGCGTAAATAAAGGTGCAGCGTTTATTTTTTTTTTCAAATAGTTTTCTTTATATATATTTTCGTCATAGTTATTATTTTAGGTAATTTTTAAAATTTTTATACTTTTATTTTAATTGTTTGTGTTGCATTGTCTCTTCAATAATTGTTTTAAAATTTTCTATTTATTCCTTCGAACTGAGCATTTTAAATATATTTATTAATATCAATTTTCCAGAATTTGATTTTATTTATTTGAACTGCGTTTCTTTCGGAAGAATACTTTGAAACCAACACTACGATGAGTTTGAAAACTGCATACTATATTAAAAAGAAAATACAGTAAAGCACAGTTTTACACGCCTTTCAATGTTCCGTTCAGAAAAGATATATATAAATAAGAGAGATGTATAACCGACATTTTAACTTAGGATGACTTGCATACACTGCTTTAATCAGTTTTATCATTCTGCCCATTGCTTTACACAATTTTATCCTACATTTTGTTTCTTAAAATGTTATTCATATTTTAGTCAAATACTTTATTTTTGAAATCTCAAGAATCAAATATCACAACATTGAAAAGTTTTAAATTAAAAAAAATACAAATACTAAATTTTACGAAAAAATTTATTTTTCTTCTCTTTTTCTTTCTAAAAGTATATTAAATTCTAAAAGTATATTAAAAAGTATCCAACTTTTCGAAACATTTTGGTATTTCTGACAATCATTTTAAATAAAGTTATCGCCTTCCATTTCATAAAGGCCCACAAACGGCCGAGCGGTAAAGACGCTGATCACTGGTAGTTCGATCCGAGGTTCGAATCCCGCGAACGGGCTGGTTGCATGGGTATTTTCGTGGTTTTCCCGATGTGTAACGTGTATACGAGCCAGTTTCCCTTAGAAAGTCCTCCACGAAGGCATCCCTCCCTTTAGGCAGATAGCCCTCGTGTGCTTTGCCATAATTAAATATTCAAATCCAATCCAATCCAATCCTTAATTAAATATAATTGATTTGTAACTTCTACTAGAACTGACGTTAAGACTTGAAGTGAAAATAAATAATATCGTGTGCAATCTTGATTAATATAAAATTAAAAATATTTGCACAGAAAAATATTTGCATTCAGATAGAAAGTTTTTTGAAATATTTGCAATTACTTTATAAGAAGGATTTATTAATAACCGTAATAGTTACTTATTATATTACTGATGATTAGGAATCAGTTCTTGACAATTACATTCTAAATTAGAATTTTAAGAATTATTAGAATTTTAAATTAGAATAATGAAAATACGCTACGCACAAAAATACATTTTAGGATAAAAAATGAGTTGATTTTTTATGTTTTAAAACTTTTTGAATTCATTTAATAAACATCGTATCCTCGTTGTTAATTGAATTCATAATGTTGGGTGTCGTTTATATAATTATTCTTACTTGTCCACGGAATCTACTGACTTATCCAGCGATTAAGTAGCTGCAGATCATTTCTACATAACCATTGAACTTCCATTAATTCAGTCTCTAGAGGGTTGTATATTTATATCATAATTTGACTTTTATAAAAATGATTATTCTAAATCTTATGTTTCTATAAAAATATACTGTGCTTTAAAAATATGGATGATAGTACCAGCCGCTCTTTCAGCCACTTCAAAAGCATCAGTTTGTTAGAAATAAATTGTGCAGTTAATGTCATAAAATTCAAATAAACATCAAGCGAAAAATTCTCAGTTTTAGACAATTCGATTTAAACGAAGTAAAGTAGCAGACGATAAAACGCCAAAGGTAAAAATTAACTCTTATTTAAAAAAAAAAAAAAAAAAAAAAAAAAAAAAAAAGAGAGAGAGAAATTAAAAAAAATATTAAAAAATTTATTTAAAAAAATAGCTTTTCATATATAGTATTAATAAATATTTATTACGCATCATTGAGGGAAAAAATGTCATATAATTAATTCTCCGTAAAATTTTACTTGAAATTTAAGGTTAAAAATAGCTGTGGCAATACAATGTAACAAAAATCCATAGACCACATTTAGCGTTATTATCGCTCAAAAAAAAGATGCCAAATTTCAAAACGCGAAAATATGTAAATTTGTGTATACCTTAGAAAATTTTGAATAAAAAAGTCTAAGTTTTTGCAGATATGCTTAAAAATATACCTACTTTAAGATGATGGTAAAAATTTTATAGGTTATAATTCAAAATTTTTTTCGAAAAAATTATAAAAAATTATTTAAAAATAGAAATTTAAAAAAATAAAACAAACAAAAAATGGGTAAAATTTTATTTGGAATGAACCTTAAATTTCGAAATGTGAGAGAAAAAATCAAAAAAGTTTAATAAAAAAAGAGATATAAATAAATATTTGCGAAATTCAATTAACATTGAGGAGCTAAATTTTGAGAGCTAATATTTCAAAACTACTCGTACGATTTTTACAAAACTTGGTATTCTGGCATATTTTGAGTCGTAGAATCGAAATATGTAAAAAAATTGGTATGTTATTTCAGAAAAAGTCCGATTTTGTGTCAAAATACCTATGTTAGAATAGTGCTGTATATAAATCTAATATATATCTTAAGTCGCGCTTTCGAGACATGAAGAACGCAATTTGAATTTCGTGAATCGCCCCAGTAGAACGGGAGATATAGCACTGTCCCATTTTTTTTTTTTTTTTTTTTTTTTTTGAGCAGTGTACCTGTCTATCTATATTTCTGTCTGTCTGTCTATTTACGTAGACAAATCTATTGTTTCATAGATGTCACTGGGCATTTACAGGTTCAGAAAATAATGTCTAAAATTGTAAACGTATTAAAGTAAATTTATGAATATAATCTCTACTGAAGTTTGCATTTACGTAGTCTTTCTTTTAGTTAGTCATAATTCTGCTTAAAATAAAATATAGGCTATGATAATCAACATTTTCATTTTAGAATGCGAGAGTCAAATGTACAGATGTACAAAAATGTTTGTACATCAAGGTTGCAAACAGTTATCTGCGTCATTGCTTACAGTGCAGGCTTTAGCGCGGGTAAGATAAGTACATCGATTTATTATTAATTTTTAAAATCGCACCATTCATTTATAAACACTTTGTATAATGTCTAAATTCATGTCTTTTGTTTCATCAAACCGCTATAAAATATTAAAAAAAATGTCTACATAAATTCTTTGAGAAAGCGTTTTTAGATCTGGTGTTATTTCAACGTATTGTGACCACAATTTGTTTTCGAAAGAAAATGATATTAGAAATCCATAAATTTATTCTTAATTTGAAAAAGAAAAAGCATTTATATGTTACACTTATCTCTACATATAATAAAAGAAAGAGTCTGTCTGTGTCTGTGTCTTTCGTTCGCGCTGCGCGTAAACTAATAGACCAACGACTACGAAATTTGGTACATAGGTGCATCTAGACAAGAGCCTGTGAAACTCGAAGCGATTTTTTTCGAAATTCGAATTCGAATTTTTTTATTTTTTTTTATTTTATGTTTTGTAACGAAATCGCGTCATTTTGAGACATAATGGGCTATAGGAAAGCGAGATTTTACTCTACACACTCCATTTTCACATCGTCATGAAACGTAGGCACTTAGCTATTTTACGAACTTAAAATAATTTCGTGTTTCAAAAAATCGATTCAATACGAATTTATTTAACAAAGGGAGCATAACACCTTTTCAACAGTATTTGTTTCTAAAAAAGTTTATTTTTAAAAATGTACAGTTTGTTTTTCCTTGATTTTTGGATACATTAAACTTTCATCCTTGCGACTGCTTTTACAAAAAGAATTTTCGAAAAACGATAATATTTTGTATTTTAAAAAAAAAAATTAAATGAAGCTTCCGATTACACTTTTCACATCTCACATCTTTAAAAATGTGATTTTGGCAACAATTTTCCTGTCTTATTGCTGTTGATAGATTTTTGATGAAATCGCATCATTTTGAATAGTTTCATTCTTTTAGAAATATGGGTTTGGCAACAATTTTTCATCGTATCTCTTATGTCACTGTTTTTAAGCGATTGGCATATTTCATTGTCATTTATTTATATGTATAATACACTTTTATTGATATTTTTTAATAAAGTT